AGAGAGAGAGAGAGAGAGAAATGCTGCGAGAAACATCATTTTCCAGGACCTGGTTTAGCTCCAAGGCTAGGCTAACTGCATGCAGCGAGGCTAAAGCTTTATTCTGCTTTCCTGCCTCCTTTTTCAAACGTCAGGATCTGATCCAGCATGGATGAAGACAACTAGGACTGATTTAAAGTACTTTTTAGAAAAGGCAAAGAAGAATGAACAATTTGGGATTCACATGGAAAATAATAGAATATAGTCGACTTTTTCTAGATGTTTATTAATTTGAATAGTTGCTTAAATAAATATATTCTCAGAAAATAAATAGTTTTTATACATTAAAAGAATATAAAGCTGGCTAATACATTCTCCATTATTAAACTGGTGTATTATTTTTTTTAGGTTGGTGACCCAACATTAGACCATGCAAAACACAGATTTACCTTCACAAAGCCTCAGAAGGGAAAGATTTCTGTACAAAAACTAAACCTGTGCATGAAACAATGTTTTGTTTTCATGATGTGTTTATATAATGTTTTTTTGTTGTTGTGGCATTCAAACAAATATACTGCTGTGATAACTTAATATATCTTTGGAGAAAACTCCACCAGCTTGGCTCTCTGGACCAGTTCTACACCCTAAAGGTTAGTCCACTTTGCTAACTAGCTTTGTTAAACAGTAACGTGATGGAGAGAGATTTTCAGGAAAATAAACCAGCCACTGTGTACAGCCTACTGTTATGTTAAAAAAAGGAAAACCTAAACATAAAATATTTCATTTATACATGGATTTTATGAGTCACAGCCCTCTGTTTGTATCTATTTAGGAAAATGCAATTAAGTGTGTTAATTTTTAAAACACTTTGAAATGTTTCTAATTAAATTATTGAAATCTAAACATTAAAGTCCCAGCCTTATTGCTGGCTTGGGGTCAAATGGTTTATAAAAGAAAATAATTAAAACAGTGGTACACATATTTATCATCTTTGTACATTGTTAGTGCTGCTAAACAATCAAAATGACACCAATAGTGAGGAAATGTTTGTGCTTTATTTCACCTTGTTTTCATTTGTCTGATGGGATGCAATAAAAACAGCCAATGGGACTCGACTGACTGGACGACACTAAAAGTCATGGTTTTAGATATTTTTCATGTATTTTCAAATATGTGTAGCATGAATAGTCTCACAAAACAATCCTCCAAACTCAATGTCTCTATGGCCTTTTGTTGTTTTTGATAAAATCTCTACTTGCTGAGGCTCTTTTCTAAACTATAAAATGTATGTTTTTTTCTGTTCTTTGCTGCTCTGAAATGTTTGAATTGTTTTTGGCCTGCAGGTGGTGTTTGCATTAGATTTTCTTTGTTATCAGCTTGATCCCTTCAAAGTCTTCTCCCTCTCCACCTTTATCTGCTCTCCAGCTCCCCCGATCTGATGCTCTTCATTGAAGCAGACTGCAACCCTCACTGTTGCTTACTGGGATTGGGATGCAACCTTAATGTGCTCTGGCATTCTTGTTACAGGTACTGCTTTCACTTATTAATTCTGGCTGCTGGGGAGTGCAGGGAGTGAGTAAAGGCACAACCATGGAAACAGATTTAGTAAAGGCCTACATTGTCAGGCCTAAATATTCAGAATGGATCAGGATATTCTAATCTGCTGCTTATAGTCAAAACCGTCTCTCTTTAGTTAGAATACATGCAAATAAGAAACATCTTAAAGGTACAATTGAAAAAACCCAGTTAACATTCCCCATAAACCGCCAACAAATCTTTAAAATGATACAAGCTTTATTGTGAAGTACTAGGCAGATCTTTGCAGTTATCCACAAAGAGGATCGCTCATTTAACTAAAGGTTATTGGTTCCTGATTAAGCAAATCATTCAATAAGACATTATTT